CCTTCAAATCGGTCTATATTTTATTGAGAAGGGATTTAAAAAATTTATTCTGGTGGACTTACGGCCATATTATTGACACTCCGAATTTGCCGGAATAAGAATATTTACGGAATAGAGGAGAATTAGTTGGAATAAGTGTATTATTGACGCATAGAATAAAACGGAATAAGGTGTAATAAGAAAGTCAGAATTGTTATTCCGGGGAATAACTAAGCGGGCAGAATCGAGCGAATAAGGCAGTTATTCCATGTTATTCGTTCAAAATTCATTATTGACTTACATCTGCTTTAGAAATACATACAGGTAAGAAATGTAAACTGTTTTTAGTTTGTAATTATCCTTTTTTTTATCCATTTTAGGTGTATAATGGCGCGCCCATCTCGAACCAATGTGCTGATCGGAATTGACCGTGCTCAACGCATTTACGACGAAGACCATAACAATAGACGACCATACATAATGCTAGAACGAAGAAAAATGCACTCGTGGGACGATCTTGACTTTTTTTCTCGATTCCGTATGACAAAGGCAAGATTTGTACACGTGCTACACTTGATTGTGCCTTACATGCCAGAGGTACATCAAAGGTATCAAAAGCTGTATTGAGTTCATATGTATACTGATTTAATATTTTTTATTTGTCCTTTACAGACAACGCTATATCTCACACGAAGTGCAGCTACTATGCACATTGCGTTTCTTGGCTGCTGGTCTATCGTTGGTGATATTATAGGAGTTTCCCAACCTACGATTAGCAACTTGTTGCCAAAAGTATGCAAAGCAGTTCTCGGACTACTGCCTGACATAGTTAGAATGCCGCGGACACAGGAGGAACTAAAAACGGCGGCTGCCCTTTTCTACATGTTTTTGGAAATTTGCCAAGAGTCATTGGAGCCATTGACTGTACACACATAAAAATTCAGTCACCGGGAGGCCCAAACGCGGAAATATTCCGAAACAGGAAGGGATATTTTTCTTTGAATGTACAAACCGTTGCAGCAGCTAATCTCAAAATCATGAACATTGTTACACGATGGCAGGGTTCGGCACACGACTCGATATATTTCGGTCGAGTGCACTATGTCAGCAATTCGAAGCGGGCGAATTTCGCCACTACATTTTAGTCGGTGATCCCGGCTATGCCAATTCTCCCTTCCTGGCAACGCCATTCGCAGAAAATAGTTCTGAGCTTCGCGCTGGATTACAACACGTACAGGAATATCAGCGGGCAATTATCGCCACCAGGAATTGCGTGGAACGCTCATATGGAGTGCTGAAGCGACGCTTTCCAGCATTGGCCTATGGTTTGCGTGTCAAAACATCGACTGCACAAATGCTTGTTGCGACCGCTGCAGTACTCCACAACATCTGTTTTGATGAGAATGAGCAATTACCCAACACACCACCTGGCTTCACGAGCAACGAAATAGAGATCAACAGTGGTGCGACAGAAGATACTCCAAATAGTAACTATGGCAGGAATGTACGCAACGAACTCCTCGATATGTTTCGTCGCCAAGTGAACACACACACCAATCACTTGCCTTGATTAGAAAAGGGAGGATAATTTCATTTAATTCATTTATTTTTTGCAATGAATAACATATTTTTGTTTTAAAAACATTAAACAAGAAAAACTAGTTAAAACAAACCTGTACTTATAAAAAAAAAAATAAATAACACACTGTTGCGCGAAACTATACTGAATGTTTTATGTCGTCATAAAAGCTCGAAACTTCAAGCTCCTCCTGGACGATTTTTTCAGATTCTTGTGCATTCATCGGTTTGTGCGTCTTTAAGTATAGGTTGTGATGCTCCTGCGCTTCTTGTTCCCGCTTAGCGAAGTATTGCATTACTTGCTTCTGAGCAGTTTTTTGTAGCATAACCGCTTCCATATTAGCAGTATGTAACTCGATGGCATGGCGCATGTTTGTTGCGTGGAGTTCGCGTGACTGCGTTAATTCAAGATTTATAAGCTGCTGGCGCATTTCATTTTCGGCATTATTTGGGTCACGGAATCTGCGTTTCCGTGCTTGCCGCTGTTGTGCAACTGTTGCAAAATATTGTCGCGGTTCTACTGCCGATGCTTCCTTGGGCAACGGCGAGCTGGTGGAGACGATTAAAGGACTGGAGAAGTTACAGCTGGGAGTCAATATGGTCGATGACGGCTTCGCTGTAGAAGAAACGAATTACTGAAATTACTCGATCCAATTAATATAATATGTACATGTACGTATGTATGCTCCTACAAACATATGTATATTTGTACCTGTGATATTCACAATTTGGACCTCCTCTAACGTCGTGTTTTGAACACCCAATACATCTTTGTTTTGAACATACAATGGGGTATGTGTATCATCCGGCATTTGTGTTTCGGGCAATGCTTCCGTATTCAGCAGTGAGTGCTCTTTGCTGTTTGCCGAACTTCCATAAATTACCATATCGCTGTCAAATTCGGAATGGAGGCCACAGAAGCGATCACGCAGAATCGCAAGCAATTCTAGCATGGCTCCAGTGAGAGGAACGGTTAAAGACACTGGCATGGGTTTCGCAAGTCCGCCACCAGTTCCCATTGAAACTTGCCGCTGCCATGTCGAATATGTCTGCAAATACTGCTTTATTTGCTTGAACCGATTCTGCAGATGTAGTGGTTCGCGAACAATTCCCTGAAAGAAAAAATATTTAACACCATTTAAAATAAATTTTAAATAATGAAAAAATAACAACCGTAGAAGCGCGCTCGGCGTTCAATATATTCGCGATTTTCCGATACTCCTGGGCCCGTTGCTCTGGCGTGCAACCGTTTGTCGCCTGATTTAAAATGCCATCGCGACCGACATCAACAAGTGCGCGCACAAAGCGCAACGTCTCCTCCGCCGACCAATTCGCAGATCTCCGTGCCCGAGGAACTCGCGACTTTTTCTTGTCTTTTTCTTTATTTTCGTTCATAGCACACAAAATCGCAAATTAAAATTGTTAACAAAACCACAACACAAAAATAATTAAGCAATTTATTCAAAAATTTTATAATATTTTGACACTCCGAATGTCAATTCCTCTCTTCGGAAAATCTATTGGAATAAATATTTATTCCTCTGCCGGAAAGTTATTCGCCGCTATTCCATAGTGAATAATTGACAAAAAAGTTATTCCGCCGTCGCTCAGAATTGCCCAGAATAACTAAACCGTTGAATACGAAGGAATAACGACACGTCAATAATATGGCCGTTATATACTTATAGACGTATAGCGTAGAGTATGCGTTAGACTCTAACGTATATATGTATGTATAGCGTAGCGTATGCGAAATTTTCCACGGTCCCTATTCATCGGAGATAACATTTCTGTATTGACGAAGTTATCCTTCAAATCGGTCAATTTTTTATTGAAAATGGATTTCTGAAAATATTCTGGTGGACTCATATATTTATAGATGTATAGCGTAGAGTATGCGTTAGACTCTAACTTATATATATTTATAGGTATAGCGTAGCGTATGCGAAATGTTCCATGTTACTTCGAAATTAACGCCAAGAGAATTGATAACAGCCGGTTTCACCAGCAATTTGATTAGAAAATAATTTTTTATTTTCTGTCAATTTCCATATAAAATTCCAAAAATCATTTTTCACTTCATTTGCCTGTCAATGTTATTTTCTTGGCTTTAACGCGCATTACCAGCGTTAACTTGGAAGGTTTAGAAAAAACCATTGTCGAATATTTTCCCAACATTGACTCTGAGGATGTCTACATCTGGATAACAAATCCGTTTTCATGTGACCCGAAAAGTAAACCTACTGAGATGACAAATTAATTTTTTGAAAACCTTCTGGACATCAGTGACGACAGCACTTTTAATATTAAATACCACGAAGGGAGCCAGAAAGTTCTGGATGCAAGTGTATGCAGAAAACACTGCTATCGGCAAGATTACATTAAAAATACTAGTGACTTTTACTTTTACATTTCTATATGAAACTGCATTTTCAACAAATGCTTACGTAAACAAATAATTTTTAAGCAAAAAACAAAACCGACTTCAATTCTCATATACAAATTTAAGATTATCCGTTATCACTTCATGATCCAATGATCGGATTCAAACCAAATTAGAATGGGACCGCCTGTGAGGTAACACCTTTCCTCTAAAAAATAATAGTAATCGGTTAACGTGGTCCAAAGTTATGCGGTAACATACATAAAAAAATAAATATTAATATAAAAATATTCCGACGAATTGATAACCTTCTCCTTTTTTTGAAGTCAGCGCCAATGATTTCAGTGTAAAATTGTCAAAGCTCCCAATAAACCTAAAGGGAAATAATGAAATCATCAGAACAATTTCAGTCCTCACATTAAAGCTAAAGGAGCATGAAATTTGTATTGTGTTTTCTTGTTTTGGTAGACATTTGAAGATTAGGGGTGACGCGAAATTTTTTTAGCACAACAAGGGTGCCGCGGTGAATAAAGTTTGGGAACCCCTGAATTAGATACATTATCTGATACAAGGAAAATCAGAGCAATAAAATCCTAATAGGGGATTGTTAAATAAACATCCAAACGGATCATTAAATAAACCTTCTGAACGTATATCTATATCACAATATAGTTAAAATAGTGCGGTTTTTAATACAAATTAAGTTAATTTCGATCGGGATTCACAAGGCTACTAGCTCTATTTCGTCTACACGACGAATTGTTCGCCTTTCACAAAAAATTTATAATAAAAGAGCGGTTAGTTGAAGTGAAAAATCGATACTTAACCTGACTAGTTTAATCGGAGTTTACTCATTTACTTGCTTAAAAACGTATACACTGAGAAAAACCGAACAAAAAAATTAGAAAAAAATATATAAATTCTCGAGTTCACATTTAAATGCAAACGAACAAGTCTCCTGTCAAAGAACCGAAAACCCCTCAATTGCTAGATATACAGCGACAGCGTAATAAGATACTGCACTAGGTTTTCTGCAGCCCCTATACAAGACAATTCAGAATCAGTTCTGGAGGTAAGAACCCATAGTCTTGATAATTTTTGGGCACGTCTCCAATCGGTTTATGAGGCCATATTTGAAACTGAGGATTCAGATTTACCTGAAAATTTTCAATCCTCGGCTTACGCCAAATATGAAAATTGCTTAGACCAATACGAAGAAACAAAGGCTATGATTTCCGATCAACTAAAATTAATAAAGCCATTAAATGCACCTACTCAACCCCCGAGAGTAGAGTTGCCCAAATACAAATCCAAGAAGCAAGTTCAGGGATACATCTTAAAGTGCCAGCATGTGATACAGAAGTATTTCATGGAGGTTATGAACAATGGCCGTCTTTCCGGGACATGTTTATAGCCGTATGCATAAACCATCCAAAGTTATCTCAAGCGCAAAAACTGTATCATCTCAGCTACAAAACATAAGGTCAAGCAGGCGCTATAGTAAAACAGTTCGCACTTAGTGACGACAATTTTAATCTGGCTTGGGAAGCATTAAAATCACGATATGAGAATGAAATAGTATTGGTCGACGATCAAATAATGATTTTAATGAACTTGCCAAAAAATTCAAAAGGAAACAAGTGAGAAATTCATGAAATTACAGTCCACTGTATCAAACTGTTTGTCGGTTCTCGCGACACAAAACATTCCCACTGATAGTTGGGACCCTATTCTGGTAAACGTATTCGCTGCAACTTTACCAGAAAAATCGTTACTCCGATGGGAGCAATAGCAAATGAGCAAAAAAATGCTCAACGTGGCAAAAAATTATAGACTTCCTCACTACCCAATTCGAGATCGCAGAAAGAGTAGATAAAAAAATATCAAAGTCGAAAAATACACAGCTCGACCTCAATAGAAGCTACAATAGACTCCAAGCCAGTAACAATAGGTTTGTATAGTAACCAATAGTCAGTACTAATTTGTACTGGAACCTGTAAATTTTACTGGAAAAGTGTATAATAACCCAAAAAATTTGCAAGAGAGCACTGAATCGAGAGCGTAACAACACGGGAGAGCTGCAAATTCTTGCTAGTAAAATTTTTACTAGCAAAAATTAGCTAGCAGAAGAAGAAGAAGAATAAATGTCAAAAGCCGCCATTTGTTGAATTGGTTTAGCTCAAACATAAGTAAAATTAGTAGATATCACAATATTAATGATGGACTGTGTAAGTGCTTGTGTGTAAAGCAAAGAGTTTAAAATAGGGATGTCGGGAAAATATCGATATTTTGCTTCGATGCATCGAAAATTTTCCACTCGATGTATAAATAGTCGATGTATCGATGTTTTTTGAAAACTGACATCTACGGTACATTGAACCGTCATTCCAGTTTTTCAATTGTTCAATAAAAACAAGTGACTTTGGCCAAAAAGTTTAAATGGCTGCAAGAAGTTCCGTTAGAAACATAACTCAGTTGCAGTAATTTATTTAAAATTTTCTGCAATTTTGCTAATAACATATTTTGTTGTCAAACATTATCTGAAAAATCCTATGCAAATCGATGCATCGATGTATGCCCTTCGATGCATCGAAAAATATCGATGTACATTTCGATGCATCGAATCAAAGAAGAACATCGATGTATTTTTGCCACTGACATCCCTAGTTTAAAACTGATTTATAAGTAGTAAAATGTTAACAGCAGAATCTCAAAACAGTGCAACAACTGGTTACTTGCAAGTTTTTGCTAGTTTTGTGTTTAATAACTTTTTCTGCTAGTTTTCTCTTCTCAATTTTACGCTCGATTTTGCTTTTACGCTCTCGCAATGTTTTACTGGAGAAGTTACTATACAAACCTAATAATTTACATATTCGAAGTTTCAACAGAACTCAATCGTTCATCTCAGAAGAAAACAAACGTTTGTCATGCGAATTTTGTAAAGGAGGTCTCTCATTAATCTTTGTTGGACTTGGGCGAGCCTAGGATATTGACCAAAAAATTCCAAATTTCACACAGATTTTTCTTAAAGCATAATGAACCATATTTTTGATATTACCAATCAGAATTCTAAAAAAGCGGATTTTCGGCCCACGCTAGTGGATACTAAGCGATCAAGTAAAAGAAAAAATATCGGTATTTACAACTCAGGTTGAAGATATTTCAAACGAATACCTCAACTCTCAATTAAGGAGATTTTGGGAGTTAGAAAAACTCCCCCAATGCACGTAGGCTTGCCAGACTTTTTATGCGCGAAATCAGTACGTCATACTCTTTCATGCTAAAAAAAGCAGTACTTTTCAGTACATTTTTATTCAAAGCAAAATTATGAATGTAAGTAACAGATAATACTTTAAAACGCCAGAGTACTTGTTTTTAACAATATTTTCGTATATAAATAAAATATAGCTTATAAAAAATAAAAGTGTTATTCACTTGAGTGTACACATCATTGTACACAGAAGCCAATAAATTATTTTATATTTGTGACATATTCGAATAGTCATAATGAGATCACTTCCATCTTTAGTGTTTAAGTAGTCAAAGAATTCTATACATTTCATTTTAAAATTACTTTTAATTTGAAGTTCACTATAAAAAATTTTAATTGGAAGCAGGTTTCTCTCTTTGCGCCAGGAAGCAAACTTTATACTCTCAGATGATTCGTTGAGTGTGGTATTACAAAAAAAAAGCATATTTCAAACTGTGGAAAAGTACCACTATTTAAAGACTTAATCTATATTTCCTCATGGCTTAAATTCATTTTCCAACTACGCAAAAACTTTGAAAGACTAAGAATTCGCTGAAAAGTGTATCGAACTCTATGTATGTCTTATATGCAAAACTCTTTTACAAGGTCAGTAAATTGTGAAAAAAGAATTGTAAGTTATATCCAAATTTGTTGTTATTAAACTGAAAGTTAATTTCGAGATAACTAACAACACTCGACAAAAAAACGTCAGCATTACATATTTTTAAATAATTTAAGCACCATCATATTATCGCAACTGGAACGTAACGACCCGGCGATATGCCCATAAAACGATTGATCTTTTTGTTGTATTAACTTCTTGGACATATCAAACATTATCTGAAACATGTCAACTATAATTAAATGATTTTCTTCTTTTACGGTACAGTTTAAGGAAGTTCCAACGTTATGTAAAAACCTTAAGAAAATCTTAAGGTATTTTGTTTGAGTTGAAAATTCAGTACAAATCAGTACAAATTTTGAAAAATCAGGTCATTAGCGTACTGATTGAAGATTAAATAAAATCAGTACAAGAGTTGAAAAATCAGTACTGTACTGATGAAATCAGTACGTCTGGCAACCGTACTCTAGCAATACATCAGTGAAAATTTCGTACATTAGTTTTCGAGTCATACGCGTACAAACATACAGACAGACAAAAATTCTAAAAATTGTTCATTTGGTCTCTATTGGCTAAAAAAGATACCCCATATTAATTTTTCTTTAATGTTTGTAGTGTACAGACATCGGCCTGTGACAATTTTATTATATATAATATAATATATACATATATGTATAGATTATTGCCCTGAAAGGACTATATTCGTTTTTGGTTTTAAAAGCTATTCTATTTCAAGATATCATTGTTAAAATAAAAAAATTTGTTAAGTCGATTTCATGAATTTTATATTCATACAAAAAAATTTGGCGATTTTGGGCGATTTTTTTAAGCAACTTTCCCATGAGAAGGAGACTTAAAATTTCAAACTTAGCTTCGAACCCGATGACAATGCAATATGAAAGATGAATTGATACGCTAGGTGGCACCGAAGTCGAGATATTTGCAAAACCGGTATTTATAGTATAGTACGATTCCGTTTATATTTGAAATGTATGCATGTAAGGAAATAACTCCGTAGAAAACTTAAATTTTTTTACTATTAACTAATTTTAAATCTCTCTCACGTTCTTTTTATTTCGCGTTCTTTTGCATTAATATCCATATGTATTCGCTTCGCTTCGCAGAGTTTCGTTATTCCGATAAACGTACGCGTGATCGATGTTAACGATAACGCCCCACTCTGGATAGGTGCACCATATACGCTCACCCTCTCGGAAGTCACTGTACCTGGTACGAGGATACTTCAAGGTGCACATGCCGAAGATGCTGATCAGCCGGGCCCGTTTTCCATGGTTGAATACCAGACTTTGCCAGGCCCATATTATGGATTTGTGCAGTTTCTAAGCCCACTCGAAGGTACACTAGTACTGAAAAAGTCATTGGATTACGAGACTTTGCAAAATTTTTCTGTGAAACTAAGAGCCCAAGATCAAGGCAGTCCACCTAAGTATACCGACACTACATTGAGAGTAGTTATTACAGATGCAGATGATCAAAATCCTAAATTTCAGTATGAATCATACTCAGGGGAGCTACCAACTGATGGCCGGCCAGCGGAATTAAGATTACGCCCTGAATCAATAAAAGCAGTCGATCAGGACGAGGGCATATGCGCCCCTATGCAGTACTCAATCGTTCAATCACAGGACACTAAAAACTTTCGAATCCATCCAAATAGTGGCATTATTAGCTTGCTCACGCCAATCGGTTACGGGGATCTTGTCAACGGTGCCACGTTGGTGGTGAAGGCAACACAAGTAGACAATGCAGATCGTTATGCACTGACAACAGTTATGTTGACTCGAACTGGAAAGAATTCCGATATAACCAGTTTGTCATTTGTGCAGAAAAGATTTTTGATGCGCATACGCGAGGACACGGCCGTGGGAAACCGTATTTTAGCTTTGCCTTCAAATAAACCAGGAAAGCACTTGAAATATACTATTCTGGATCCAGTGAATTCGAAATTCTTCAGTGTGGGCTCATTAGGGGAAGTAATTTTAGTTAAACCCCTGGATTATGAAAAAATTACAAAGCACGAGTTCGAAGTAATGGCTACTGATGGTTTGACAAATATTACCGCGGATATCACATTGGAAGTAATTGATGTAAATGACTGGGAGCCAAGATTCCGTGAGACACATTATGAGTTCTTCGTACCTAAGACCGTAAGTACAAGTTAATTTATTAAATTTTACCTTAACGGCCATCTTCACCTGCTTGGAAATCTCGCTTGGGTTCTACTTTTTTTGTCGCGAGTGCGTCTCCAAGCAAATGCATGTCCTGAATTTATATGGTAGCAATTCATAGCAATTACTACTGTATGTATTAGGGATGTTGCGGATGTGGAATTTTAGACATCCGCGGATGCGAATATCTAACGGCTAACATCCGCGGATGCGAACGCGGATATCAAGTATTTTTAAAAAACAATTAGAATCTAGCATAATGGTGAGATCGTTGTTTAAACAGCGCTTACAAGCCAAACCAGATACATATGTCATGTTGTTTCAGTATCTGGAGAACCTGTAACTTTATCAGCACTTTTCGATTTTAGTTTTTGTAATTCATTTTTAATACTTCTGCGACTGCTTTGAAAAATTTGTGCTTCCAGCGAGCTAAATAGGTGGATATGGAAAATGGATTATTATTTTTGAACAAAATTCTGTTTTCAAAGTAGTGGCTGCCAGCCGAATCGGATCAGAATATTGTTATTTTTTTTAAGCAACCCGTTTTTTATAAGCATTTGAATAACAGATAGTTTCGTTATTCTTATCTAATTAAAGGTCAGACCTATAGCTTTTTAATTATTTGAGCATCGATTCCCTTTATAGCTATACGTTGATCATTTCTACTGGAAATCCCTATTGAAGGAGCTTACTCAATACTCAATACTTACTTTAAATAGCAAATAAGGAACAGTTTTACCACAGAAGTTTTTAGCCAAGAATCCAATGTATATCACCATGAAAAAAATATTATCCAACAAGTAAACTAACTACTGAATTCTNAAAACTACTAACTTTAAAATTGTTGCTAAAAATAAATTTCCCAAAGAGACCTATTTGAAATTATTCAAACGAATAAATATAATAGGTGGCATACGCGGTACGTCTGACTCGCGAGTCATTTGTGTACGTGTTGACTCGCCTTCAANAAAAATTACAAAGCACGAGTTCGAAGTAATGGCTACTGATGGTTTGACAAATATTACCGCGGATATCACATTGGAAGTAATTGATGTAAATGACTGGGAGCCAAGATTCCGTGAGACACATTATGAGTTCTTCGTACCTAAGACCGTAAGTACAAGTTAATTTATTAAATTTTACCTTAACGGCCATCTTCACCTGCTTGGAAATCTCGCTTGGGTTCTACTTTTTTTGTCGCGAGTGCGTCTCCAAGCAAATGCATGTCCTGAATTTATATGGTAGCAATTCATAGCAATTACTACTGTATGTATTAGGGATGTTGCGGATGTGGAATTTTAGACATCCGCGGATGCGAATATCTAACGGCTAACATCCGCGGATGCGAACGCGGATATCAAGTATTTTTAAAAAACAATTAGAATCTAGCATAATGGTGAGATCGTTGTTTAAACAGCGCTTACAAGCCAAACCAGATACATATGTCATGTTGTTTCAGTATCTGGAGAACCTGTAACTTTATCAGCACTTTTCGATTTTAGTTTTTGTAATTCATTTTTAATACTTCTGCGACTGCTTTGAAAAATTTGTGCTTCCAGCGAGCTAAATAGGTGGATATGGAAAATGGATTATTATTTTTGAACAAAATTCTGTTTTCAAAGTAGTGGCTGCCAGCCGAATCGGATCAGAATATTGTTATTTTTTTTAAGCAACCCGTTTTTTATAAGCATTTGAATAACAGATAGTTTCGTTATTCTTATCTAATTAAAGGTCAGACCTATAGCTTTTTAATTATTTGAGCATCGATTCCCTTTATAGCTATACGTTGATCATTTCTACTGGAAATCCCTATTGAAGGAGCTTACTCAATACTCAATACTTACTTTAAATAGCAAATAAGGAACAGTTTTACCACAGAAGTTTTTAGCCAAGAATCCAATGTATATCACCATGAAAAAAATATTATCCAACAAGTAAACAAAACTACTAACTTTAAAATTGTTGCTAAAAATAAATTTCCCAAAGAGACCTATTTGAAATTATTCAAACGAATAAATATAATAGGTGGCATACGCGGTACGTCTGACTCGCGAGTCATTTGTGTACGTGTTGACTCGCCTTCAAGTACACACAGTTGAATCATTCAGACCCAGTAGCAAAAGGTAATAGCTGGGAAATGAAGCTGTAATAGCAAAAGTGAGGGCCTAACTACTGAATTCTTTGATGAATTTTAACACGGCCGATGTCCTACGAAATTCATATCTTAAAAATTGCAAACCTGGGAATATCAGTTTATCAGTTGTTTGCATATCTGACTCAAATACCAGAGGATGAGAGTAGATCAGTTGTGTTCTGTACCTATAAATATACCCAAGACTCTGAAGTGGTTAGCTGTCCGTATTAAAGGCTTAGGTACCCAGAATTCGAGGTCATCAACAGTACGCATTACCTGCTCATATACCTAGGGCTATGGGTCGATCAATTTTGCGCAATGCCAGAAAATATACCCAGGAATGAGAAGTATTCATTTGTCCGCATTTCCGATTGATGTACCCAGAATTTGAGCTTATCAGCTGTACGCATTACCTCCTCATATACCCAGGGATACGGTCGATCAACTTTGCGCAATGCCAACAAATATACCCAGGAATGAGAAGTAATCATTTGTCCGCACTACTGACTGATGTACCCAGAATTTGAGGTTATCAGCTGTACGCATTACCTCCTCATATACCCAGGGCTACGGTGGATCAACTTTGCGCAATACCAACAAATATACCCAGGAATGTGAAGTAATCATTTGTCCGCATTAATGGCTCATGTACAAAGAATTTGAGGTGATAAGTTGTGCGCGTTTCCAGCTCATATAACAAGGGATACGAAGCGATTAGTTGTGTGCGTTACCCGCCTATACACCCAGATATATCAGAAAATAAGTATATATGTAAAAATTCTTTGCTTTTAATTGTAATATAATATATGTATGTATGTCATAGTCATATAAATATTAAAAGAATTATTTTTGAAAAGATAAATAGGAAACATAAAAAATATTGTGTAATTCATTTTAAATTGTTAATTAAATTAACGTACTTGGAGAACAAAAATGAAATTCATACTTACAGTAGCGGAAAATTAATAGGGACGCGACATTTAAACAAGTACTGGTTATTTTTCTTTTGTTAATTTCATGTTTACTATTATTTACAAAAGTATAGCTACGTTTATGATTTTGGTGAATTTTCCTAAATGTTTTAAAAAGTTTGAAATTTGGACTTACATGGTTGTCTTTAGATAATTAGCAGCAGATACTTTTATAAGAAAAATAATAACCATTAAATAAAAAAGAAAAATAGCCAAAACTTGTTTAAATGTTGCATGCCTATTTATTTTTCTGCCACTGTATAGTCGTATTTAATTAAAAGGATCAAAATTATTTTGCGAAACTTGAATTTTTGGTTTTCTTCAAATAATTTGCTTTGTGATATCTATTTTTTTCCCATTTTGAATGACCTTCTAAGGTCTCGCTCATATTCCTTTTTGGTGTACCCTTCCGTTTGTATTGCTTCTGAAAGCAAAAAAAAACAAAATAAATTAGAAAACATGTGTATTATTACTAGCGAAGGCATAATTTAATTGTACCATGACGTCGTCGCTGAGGATTTTTTCATTCCGTTTACAATAGCAATTTGTCCAATAATGTCTTTTATATTGGAAACCTGGTTAAAAAATAATTTTTAATTACATGATTAATATAATTATTTAATTATTTGCAAATGTTTTTGATTTTTTAAGTGCAAGATTAATATAATGATTTGATTATTTTCAATTATTTAATACTAACCTTAAAAAATTTGCCTGCCAAACACAACTTTATGTATTTGGAAAAATAATAAAAAATAATCATATACTAGAAATAATCAAATAATTAAAAACAATCTAATAATTAAAAATAATCAAAAAAATAAAAACAATTAAATAATTAAAAGATTATTTGATTAAATTTTATTATTTTTAATTATTTGATTATTTTTTTAACGGCAACTAATCATGATTATTTTTTATTGTAATTAATTATTAATTGCTGGGTTATGTAAGAAAATAAAAATAATCATTAAAATTAAAAAATGCAAAAATCTAATGATTACTAATCGTAATGGAAATTTAACAGCTCTGCCTATAATAATAAAAAAATAGCGCGATTTCATACTCACATATACATTTTTCGAGGCGTAATTTGCAATTTCAGCAAGACGCTTCACCTCACAAACTGGGAACTTTGTTTTCTTCTCCACTTTCTCCAGAATCCTCTGCATAAGCAAATTATTGTTTGCCTGGCTGTTCATTAACGCTGGAATTGAAATAATAATTTTGTTTAGGAAAATAATAAAATGGAAAACACAGTAAAGAAAACTAATTTATTTTCGATACTAACCTTCTAATTTTGCCATTACATCGTTTACTTGTTTTTTTTTTTATGTTATTCAATTCCTCCTGTAAGTCTTCCGGGCCTGCAAATATGTATGTAAATTTTAGCTTTTATTTTGGTCAAATTATATCGGTACATACAAGAAAAAAAGTTGTGTGTACATTTGATGGAATCCACTTATCTTTATGTTTTTTGACGTACTGAATCCAAATCGGCAGTCGACTTTGGCCAAACACCCAAAAATTTTCCAGAAATTTGCAAATTACTCGAAAATTTGAGGGTACTAAGTCAAAACCGACCGAACATAAAGATAAGTTTTTTTTTTTTTTTTTAGGAGGAAGCATCGAAAGCCTAACCCTGTCAGTGTGGGACTTTAACCCGAACTAAACCTCCTACCGTCACAGCACCGATTCCCCCCGGTACTACCGTCAAGTATTTCGTCGGGAGGCGGTTTGAGCACTAGTCTCAACGTCCGTTCCTGTCCTGATGCATTACGTCAGAAGTTGCATCTACTTGTTACCACCCGCTGTTCGTACAATTTCGGGAGAGAGCTTGTTTACGTGCACTTTTCGCCGCTACATCTCCTTGCCGGCTCACACCCTTTCTTGACATTGGCGTGTACGCCTTGCCTGCTCGCTGTTGCGGAGTTGCTGCATCACTGTGGCAGCCATATGCTGTACCTCGTTCCATGCGTGGTTGCTTCTCAGCATGAGTGGCACCAGATTGTCTGGTGTGCCACTACATCCAAGGTTATCTTCCACATGCTTCTTTAACTTTCTGAAGCGGGGACATACGAAAAGCACATGTTCTGCATCTTCGGGGACTGCTGGTTCGCACTGCTCGCAATATGGGGTATCTTCATGCCCAAATCGGTGAAGGTACGCTTTGAAACAGCCGTGGCCACTGATAATTTGGGTAAGATAATAGTCTACTTCCCCGTGCTTTCTCTCGAGCCATGCTTCGACTCTAGGGACGAGTCGATGGGTCCACCTGCCCTTTGCTGCGCTGTCCCATCGTGTCTGCTACTGGGCTATGCTGCGTTGCTTTGCTTTTGATCTGTGCGCGCTGACATGGTGTTGGTTGTGTTTCGCGGTTCTCGCTTCACACAACTCCTGAGCTAGCAGGTCGAGTGGGCACAGGCCGGCTATGATGAGCGCCGCCTCTTCCGATACCGTTCTGAATGCATATCAGACTCTAAGAGCACACAATCGGTACGTGGAGTTTGAACTTCGTGCATATGAGGTGTACTTTAATGCGTTGCACCAAACTGTCGCGCCATACAGGAGGATAGACCTCACCACCCTAGCTAGCACCTGTCTTGCCTGCTGTCTTAGTCCGCCGATGTTGGCCATTATTCTTGACAGGGCTACCGTCGCAGTCGCAGCTTTTTTACTCGCGTACTTCAAGTGGTCGCGACAGCTAAGCCGATGATCCACCAAAACCCCTAAGTACTTTACATATGGCTTGGACTCTATGATACTGCCGCCAACTTTAAGCACCACCTTTTTTACCTTCTTATGGCTGCTGATGAGTATGGCTTCCGTCTTATGCGCAGCCATCATTAGATTCTTCGCGCTTAGCCATTCCTGGGCCGCTGATATCGCATGTTCCGCAATGCCTACCACTTCCGTGAGCATTTTTGCGGTTACAACGATAGATATATCGTGTGCAAAGCCAATGAATGTAGCACTATCATGTACCTTGAGCCGCAAAATGCCGTCATACATAATGTTCCACA